TATAGTGGGGCCTTGACTTATGAGTTCAATTCGTTCTGTGACCGAGCTTGTAACTCAAATTACTCGTATGTCAAAATCATTACAGTGAACAAGTGAGACACGTGATGCTGGGCTGATGTTGTAGCGTTCACTGTGATGTTCACTGAACCAACTAGTGGTGAGGTATCTGGAGCTGGCTTATAGTCTGAATTTTAGCCCTCAACTCAAAGCAAAAAATCAGCCGAGAGATGGCTCATATATCGAAAAACTCGTTAGTCGGGACACTCGTAAGTCAAGGCCCCACTGTACTCGTTAAGTTATAGATATTGGGCTCTAAATGATTAGTTTTACCTAAAAATTGTGTAAGAGCTAAAAAATTTTATAATTGAGGGTAAAGCCTCCAACAAAGCAATGTTAACATTGCCACCTATCTTTATTATTCTTTTTATTTGAAAAGATTTAGCAATTATAATAAGAAATGCTTTAAAGTTGTTTTAGAATTATTATAACCCTTGAACATCACATTTTGTTTTTATTTTTTTACATTGCAATTCTCATTTGTACCTATACTAAATATTAGTATCAAAGTACATATTAATTTTCTCATAATTTTGACTAATTTCTTATTTAATAAATTTAATAAACATTTATTCATAGAACTGATTTTTAAAATGACTACTTTAAATGTACTATGATTTTTAAGACATTCCCTAATTTGGGGCACCTAGGTTGTTTTTACATATTTGCCCTTACAAATAACACTGCTCTGAGAATCTTCCTTCGTCTTTTTCCTTCATTGAATTATTTCCTTAGGATAAATTCCTGAGTAAAATCGTAAGAATAAAGAGTATGAGCATTTTCATAGATCTTTATATGTATTACCATGTTATTTTCCAAATGTCAAGGGTATTAAAACCTCACAATGAATGACATGGAGGATCCAGTACTGGCCAATATCATTTAAAGAAAATATTCTTTTAGTAGATAAAAAACAGTATATCACAATTATGTTAATTTTCATGTCTTTATTTAGTCAACAGCTTTCTTTTTTTAAGGTTTTCATGCATTAATATAAATTACTCTGATGTGTTTTGCTTTGCTCTTCAACTGCTCTCCTAGGCAGCTGAAGTTGGCCAGGAGTAGTGTACATATTCCTGTGACCCTGTTGTTCTTGTGGTTAAATGGGGGGTAGGGAGGGCAAGTGGGAGGGGAATAAGGGAAGCCAGAGCTGGTTGGGGGGAAGTCAATGGGGAAAAAAAAAAGGAGACATATGTACTACTATTTGTAATACTTTAAACAATAAAAAAAAATAAATACCTTCCCCTCCTCCTCACTTCTATGTTCATTCCTACTCAGGAACACAGGGGCACTCTGCAAATTAGCCAACCACTTGCTCTTCTTTCATACAACTCCTACTATTGAGCCAATCTCTCTTTCTGTATCTTTCTTTTGTGAGCTCATTTAATACTTTATTCATTTATATTCTAAACCAGGGTCCTCAAACTTTTTAAACGGGGGCCAGTTCCACTGTCCCTCAGACCGTTGGAGGGCCGGACTATAGTTTAAAAAAAAACTATGAACAAATTCCTATGCACACTGCACATATCTTATTTTGAAGTAAAAAAACAAAATGGGAACAAATACAATATTTGTATTTGCATGTGGCCCGTGGGCTGTAGTTTGAGGACCCCTGTTCTTAACAGATATTCAATGAGGCTCACACTTCTCTATGACTTCTGTTGTCATATGTCTGTTCTTGTTATTTTAGTTATAAACTAGGGGCCCGATGCATGAAATTCATGCAAGGGGCTTGGCCCTCGCAGCCCCGGCTCATCCGGAAGGTCGTCTGGATGGTCGTTCTGCTGTTCAGTCTAATTAGCATATTAGCTCTTTATTATATAGGATGATTAGTTTATAAGGTGGTGACACCTGGCCAGAAGCTGATCCTCTCCACAGGGTTTTACCTGCCCCAACCTTGCACACTCTGTGTTTCCAGAGTCAATTCCTAACCCTTCCTCTGCTGCACCTTCACCTTCACTAGCCACGAGGTTCCTTCAGTCTGGAATTTCTTTTCTCTTTCTCCACATTTTGAATCTGTATTAGTTTTTTATGCTGGGTAAAAACAAAAAAATCAGTCTTACACTTAGTGGTTTAAAACAGCACACATTTGTTATGCCACAATTTCCTTGCATCAGGAGTCCAGGTACAGATTGATTGGGTCTCATGCTCAGTGTCTCACAGGTTCAAATAAAGGTGTCAGCAGGGGCCCTAACCAGTTTGGCTCAGTGGATAGAGCATCGGCCTGTGGACTGAAGGGTCCCAGGTTTGATTCCAGTCAAGGGCATGCACCTTGGTTGTGGGCACATCCCTAGCAGGGAGTGTGCAGGAGGCAGCTGATCAATGTTTCTCTCTCATCTATGTTTCTAACTTTCTATCCCTCTCCCTTCCTCTCTGTAAAAAAATCAATAAAATATATATATTTTTAAAAAGGTGTCAGCAGGGCTGTGTTTTCGTCTGGAGCGCAGGGTCCTCTTCTGAGCTCATTCAGGCTGTTGGGAGAATTAATTTCCTGTGACAATGGGAGTGAGGTTCCCATTTCCTTGCTCAGTTCCTTGGGGCCTCCCTCAGGTCCTGCCACATGGCAGCTCCTAGTCAGCAGGAGAACCTCTCTAGTTTGCTAAGGTGGACTCTCATAGAAGGTAACCTCAGCATAGGAGTGACATCCCATTCCATTCACGGGTCTCACCCACACTCCAAGGGAGAGGTTTACACAGGGCAGGGATCTTGAGGCCACCTCCACCTACCTAGGATCCTGCTCATCTTTTATTGTGCTGTTGAAATTATGTTCCTTTCATGGACCCTTGTCATAGCCTCTCCAGCAGTACAAATTGCTCTCTCACTTTCTTCCTACAGTGCCTTGAAACAGTGCCTGAAACAGTGCCTTGAAACAGTGCCTGTTTCAAGTCTCCTGTCTTACTCTGCCTTAGTGCTCATGGCCTTGCCATGTCTGAACAGCACACTTCACCTTTGGAGTGAGTAGTCCTAGATGTGTGTTTCACCTTGGCTTGCTCGCTCTCAGAGTATTGTGGAGGTGGCTCCTCTGAGGAAGAGTTGTATTTTGCTGTTATTGACAGTTCTTGAAGGTCTGGCACACATTTTCTGAATGTTAACGGTCCACTGTGGCATGTTTTGAAACATTTCCCTGTCTAGTAAGCCACTTAGGGACTTTGTAACCTGAGCATAGTTATGTTTGAATCAGGGCAAACAAGTATTACAGAAAAGTCATGTGTCAGAGACAGGAACCAGGGCTTAAAAGAGCCTAGAATCTAGTCAGAAATGAGTCAATATTAGAGACAGTATGAGTCCAAAATGCCTCAGTGAGAGCAGTAAGGAATGTGGGGAGCAGGGGCAATCTAAGGTTGGGCATTGCTTTGGATGTCCCCACAGCTCCTCCCCAGTGCCTTGCCACTAGTAGGCACTCAACAGTGTTATTGGTTAGTTACCAGGAAGTAGTATGTGCCTGTGAGGGCTTCATGATTTTTAAGCCAATTGTTTTATTTTATTTCCTAATCATAGCTGGTGCTCAAGATAAAATTGGCTGGGCCTTTGGCCTAGGATTAGAAAGACTGGCCATGATCCTCTATGACATCCCTGACATCCGCCTCTTCTGGAGCGAGGATGAGCGCTTCCTGAAGCAGTTCCATGTGTCTGATATCAACCAGAAGGTGAAATTTCAGGTAAAATAACTTGCAAGAATCAACTAAATTTAAAAAAAATGTTTGAAAGAATGGTGGGGGTCATGCATTTGAAAATTGAATTATTGAATTTAAAAATAATGTGAATTTGAAAATAGGTTTTTTATAGAAGTCCATAAACACCCCACAGGAGTTCATAAACCTTCAGAAACTGTATGTGGAAAAAGACGTATCAAGCTTTTTAGTCTAAGCAGAGAACCAGTTTTGGGCTTTCTTGATCATTTTATTATCGATCTTTATATCTGATGATACTTTAAAGTTTAGTTTTTCTGATCCTATATAAACACATTAGTTTCTTATGATTAGTTTGTAATGCACATCTTCTTCATCATTTTACTGTCACTCTGTGTCTTTATATTAAAAGAGTGTCTTTTATAAGCACCATAGAGTTGGGTCTTTTTTGAAATTCAGATTTAATTTGAGTGTTGAATACATCTTACATTTAATATAATTACATGGGATATTCTTGGACTTAATTCTGTTAAAGTTTTATTCCCCACCCCTCACCCCATTTCCCTCTTGTATTCTTTATTTGGAAATTATGGTTTTTGTGGGGGATTTTTGTTTCTTTTTATATCTCATTTTAGTACCCTTATTGCTATTTAGTTTCACCATTTTGTATTATTTTAAGCGGTTATTCTAGAATACAATATGCATAATTAATTCATCTCACTTTACCATGAGTAACTATTATACAACGTCATGAAACAGTTAATAACTTTACAATAATGTAATTCCTCTTACGCCTCCTGTTTTTTTGTATTATTGTCATATTTTATTTCTCCATATATTGTAATCTCACAATATATTGCTCTGTTTTCTTCATATAGTCAGTTATCTTTTAAAGAAGTTTAAAACTATATTGTTTATATTTCCCTCGATATTTACCCCACACTGATTATTCCTTCTGCTGATCTTGATTTTTCTTTGTGATTATTCCCCTTAAGTCCGAAGAACTTCTTTTAATATTTCTTGTAGTACAACATGAATTTTTTCAGCTTTAGTTTGTCTGGAAACACCTTTGTTTAATGTTTATTTATTTTATTCTATTAATTTATTATTATTTTATATTTTTATTTATTTCAGAGAGGAAGGGAGAGGGAGAGGGAGATAGAAACATCAATGATGAGAGATAATCATCGACCGGCTGCCTCCTGTACACCGCATGCTGGGGATAGAGCCCGCAACCTGGCCATGTGCCCTGACCAGGAATTAAACCAGTGACCAAAATCTTATGCATGGGTTGATGCTTAATCCCTGAGCCACACATGCCGGGCTCACCTTTATTTTTTAGGAATATTTTCCTTGGATATAGATTGTCATTTTTTATGTTATTTTTTTTTCCTTTCAGCTCTTTAGAGATGTCATTTCACTGCTGTATCCTTTTAGTTTGGTTTTCAGCAGTTTGACTTATGTGTGATTTTCTATCTGTTGTCCTCCTGAGGTTTCACTGTGTTGGATTGTCTTTCAACCTCCTTGAAAATTCTCCTCTACTCTCTCTTCTAACAATTATACTCCTTCTTTCTTTTCCTTTTCAGACTGTAACTTCATGTTTGTCAGACCATTTGGAATTATGCCATAGAACTCATGCTCGGGGTTTGTTTTTATTGATTTTTTTTACTCTGTGCTTTATTTTGGATAGTTGTAAGTCTTCTTTCTGTGTTTACTAATTTTTTTCTATTGTGTCCAGTTAACCATTAGGCTCCACCAAGTAATTAGTAATTTCAGATATTTTACTTATTTGTCTACAATTTCTACTTGCTTTCCTTTAAGAATTTTGATTACTCTGATGAAATTCTCCATCTTCTCACCCCTTTTGTACATTTTCCTTAAATTCTTTAGCATTTTCATAATACTTATATTAAAGTCCTTGTCTATTAATTCCAACCATTTAGTTATCTATTATTCTCCTTGTATTCTTTTATTTTTTCTTACGCGTCACATTTTTTCTGCTTTTTCACTGGTTTTACTTTTGAAATTGTGTTTAAAAGAATACATAAGCCTTACACTTTCTCCTGCAAGGCGACTAAAGGGATTAGGCCATATTTCTTATTTCTAATCAGGAACTAGATTTCCCATCTCATTTGCTCTGGATGGTGAAATCTGTCCCTGCAAAAGTTTGTGATCTCTGCATGTAAAATGATGATCTCTCTCTGTTTTCCACCCAGTTGCTAACTTCTTCCACACCAGTCAGTGCTTGCTGAGCAAAAAATATTATGAAGGCGAATTGGCTGGCAGTGAAGACTAACTGTCTCCCCATTTTCCAATCTGCCACACCAGCCAAGGATTGGCTGATAAAAGTTTGGCTAATTTCTCCTCTCCAGTGAAGTTTCTTTACCAAGAGCAGGCTAGCTCTTCTGACTACTCAGGCCCACATGGTGACAGCAGCCACCAATGACTGTTCACCCTCAGAGGGCTCATCTCTCTGGTATTTCATTCATTTAGGCTTGTAGCCAGATCTCTTCAATATCTTTTATGGCAGATAATATTTTTAAAGTTATTGATTTTTCCTTGTTACAGTGGGACTGAATTTTTTTTGCAAACTTTTGCATCCTAACCAAAAGTTCATCATTGATTTGATTCTTTGGTTTTATTTTTAATGGCCTTTTACAAATTCTGGTTCCTCCCACACCCTCTTCTTTGGCAACCATCAGGTTCTTCTCCATGTCTATGTGTCTGTTCCTATTTTCTTTTGTTTATTCGTTTGGCCTTTAAAAAAGTCTATTTTTTTTTAAGTAATCTATTTATAATCTAGAAACAGGACCTTCTACATAAATTTGGAATAAAGACCCATCTAAATCATTAAAAGTAAAATCTGGCTAAGGAGCTAAGTTTCTCTCATTTAATTTTTCATTTATTAAGTCATTTATTTTATCATCAAACATTAATGGGACACCGACCAACATTATACAGGGTAGTGTGCTCTGTAGTGTGGTGGGCAAGCACAGATGAGTAGCAGTTGCTACCACAGTTAGTGGCTTAAGTCCAGTTTTTATTGTGTTCACAACTGTCTTCCCTTGGGAGACACAGAGATATCCAGGAATAGATATGGGTCTCTTGTATTAAGTGTCATTTAAAAAAATCTTTTCTGCCTTCAGAGTTGAAATCAGTGTATGCATAACTGTACTATTATGTAATTTACATTGCTGCCTTTGTAGAATAAACTTAAGAACTTCTGATGGGGCAGTTAGGATTTAATTGCTGAAATCATATATGTCTGTAAAATACTTTTTCTTTTGTAGATCACAGAGAACTAGTTCCTAATTATTTACTTATAATTGGTATCTATTAATTATATTCTTGGTTAGTTTCCTATTACTAATGTAACAAATTACCACAAATTAGCAGATTAGAACAACATTTCTATTATTTTACTTTTGTGGAGTTCAGAAATTCAAAATCTATCTGAGTGGCTAAAATTAAGGTGTCAGCCGGAGTGGGTCCTTTGGGAAGCTCTAGGGGAGAATCCACCCCTTGCCTTTGCCAGCTTCTAGGGCTGTCCTTGTTTCTCACTCATGACTCTGTATTGCCTGTTCTCTTGTCTTTCCCTTTGTGTCACGTCTCCTTCTCTCTGAACTTTTATCTCCCTCTTACAAGGACCCTTGGATGGAGCCCACCAAGATTATTCAAGATTAATCTCGACATTTCAAGATCCTTTCTTATTTACATTTATGAACTTCTTTTTGAATGTCAGGTTACATATTCATAGGTTCCAGGGATTAGGACATGGATGCCTTTTGGAGGCCTTTATTTAGCCTATCACATATCCTTTTGTATATTTCATTTTCATCATGGAAACTTGCTTGCCTTCAGGTATCATAGAGCAGATTTGGTGTTAGGTATAAGTGATACAGATGGTGTTAAAGTGTTGGCAGTTTGTAACTATTAGTGTAGAGTGGTCATGCTTATAGATATGAGGAGAATAGGAGACTCATTTTGTCACTGTTGGCTTGTCTTAAGAAAAGTATTTAACATGATTATAATACAAGACTTCCCCAGAGGGGAGAAGAGGAAACGCGGAGGAAAGGTCTGCGGCAGCCATGCCTTCTTTGCCCAGAAAACTTGGGGAGCCATTTGGGAACCATATTGTGCAGGGCTGGCAGGAGGCAGAAATGTCTCTTTTCTCATCTCCCTCAATCCCTCTTAGCTTATGCTTTAGGCTCTCTTGGCTTCTGTGGTACCTTCCTCTGCATAATCTCCACTGTCCTGTAAATCCAGCCAGCCAGCTATGGTGGTGCTCTCTAGGTGCTGGCAATAGCCTGATTCATTACCCGGCCTCATCTCTGCTGTTCTTTCCCGAGTATTTGAAAACTATTGTTTAAGTCTAACAAGTAGGAAACTCAAGTTATAGTGTGGTTTTAACTCTTGGTTTTTTATTTCACATGTTTTGAGTTTAAATGCTTGCTTTTTGTGGCTCTCTCTACCCAACCTCGATCAAGGCTTGAAATAAGTAGATGAGCAAGCTGGTGCTTTATCATGCTAGTGTTGTCTTGTTTTGGGCAAGAGATCTCTATCTCCCTTGCAGGTCCCCCTTCCGGGTTCGTTCTGGGCCCTTGTGTGTATGTCTGCCACCTCCCTAAAGTAAAACTCACTGTTGCAGTGCATTGAATGAATATTCAGTACTCTAACCTTTGTTCATTCTTTAAATGTTCTTTAAACAATACTGAATTATGGATTCAATATTTAGTGCTATACAGAGTAATACTTGTTATTTAAAATTATTTATTAATCAACATTGTAAATTTTATTCACATATTTTGCTTAAATCTTTTTAATTCCATGTGTGTCCATAGTTGTTCAAAAAGTCAGTCCCCATTTGATGAAGTAATTCAACAATGTTGGTTGTTATCTTTCTTTCAAGCGAAGGACTTTTATTGGCTCTCTTTTGTGGGCGGAGACTATATTTATTCCTAATCCTGGATAATATCTCAAATGCTTTTCACTGCAACAGAAGTAGGTAAGAATAGGTGGGCAGTGACATG